CAGCTGAAAAGGTGAGATGGAAAGGAGTGACGTGGAGAGGTCATGATATGGCGTGGCAGATCGTGTCATCTCGTGAAACTGACATGGAGAATAATTTCTCTGGCTGATTCTTCATAGAAGGCGATCGACGCCGAATTCCCGAGTAGAAATGTGGATAACCCTTACTGAATGTCAGAAGGGCAGGCACCACTGGTCGTTGTTTGTTCCTGGTGGTGTATGATAGCTTGTTATGAAGGAAGGAAACTCCGATGGCCACTTCTAGAACCTTTGGTTGGCGACTTTCTCAGAGGCCTGGGCATCGAGATGGATACACCACTTGATCCAGCAGAGGTCTCTTCGATTTCTCGAACTTTCTTTCCGTAATGTGGAAGGGGCTGAGAAGTAGAGAGATGGACTCCATGAAGTTGATAAGCAACACTGAGAGCGGGTTCCTCAACAAGGTTATTATGACGAGCCCTTTTAGGGGACGGCGGATGGGACCTGTTCATCTTCTTGCGCTTATTGGATGACTTTCTCCCAATGGACACTGCATGTCGCCTTCCCTTTTCGCTACCGAAGATTGCTCGGAGCATTGCTCCTACTCGGTGAATTTGCGGCCTCTTGGTAGCAGAGTGCTTCGCCAATTGTGATGGTGAGATAGATCTAGTTTCGTTTGCAGGTCCGATGGGAAACAATGGAGCAGATAATGTTGGTGGTTGGGCAACCGGAATACATGGCGGAACGACGGCTTCTGTGTGTCCCATTTGGATACTCGGTGCGATCATGAAATGGGAATGCATATCTCCAGTCGAGTTTGGCAAATACTCGGAGCACAGAGAAGGGATTATATCGTCATCAGACTGGATGGGAGGCGATTGGGATGCACTTGATAGAGAATAATCGGCCGGAAATACAAACGTCGGTTGCATCGGATGTATAACATGAGTCGTGGTTGAGAGGGGAGGGATAAAGATAGGTGCAGGTTTTCGAGTGACCCTCTTCCCTTTTAGCGATGAGGAAGGGTTCGAAGGAAGGGCAGAGATGGCGCCTGCGTCAAAGCGTTAGATGACACGCAAGCACCATGTAGGAAATCAACTGACTATCGTCCTTGGTGACCTTTCCCTTTTTCAAGGAGGACTGTGACATTGTGGCGCCTGCAAGGCGGCGCGAGGAGACACGGCTATTCTTCCTTGGCACTTCCTCACGAAGGACCTCCACCTCCGTTTTCATACCAATATGTAGTGTTACAGTTTCAGCCTTCTCCACGTGCGAACGTCTGGGTAGGAGCTTGAGGAGAGATAACTTTCGCCCCATACGATGAAGCATAGTCTCCTCCTCCTCTTCCTCATCATCGTCTACATTCTGGCTTGAATAGAGAACCGAAGTCGAGGCTCTTCCATGAAGAGGAAAGTTGACAGTATTGTACTTGGGCGATTCTGGTCCAGCGACAAGGGCAGCAAAAGAGAAGGGTGCCGCAGAGTTTCGACGATAGAAACCTTGGTATGGATTGAACATGAAATTATTAGAGAGATTAGGATCAGCTGTAGTACCACTATTGGAAGAGTTAGAGGATCATTCGACTCGCTCGCCACAGAATCTGCCTGGGCTGGCATAGACATACCTAGCTCGACGAGTATACATCTTGAGGTATTAAGAAGAGAATGATAAGGAATTGGGAGTAGGAGGGGATCGTTAGGGAAGAGGAGGGAGGCCAAGGTTGTCGCTCAACACTTGGATGATGAGAGCATGGACCTCTCAAAATTTGATTGGGTATAGAGCATATATATCCTCTTTAAGTGTATTTATAGAGATGGGCTTCGCGAAGGACACCCATTGTCGTGTCTGCTTTGGAAGGAGACAAAGACGGCCTGGCATGTGCAGGAATGGACCAACAATGGGGAAGGTAAAAGTGGGCCGGTGCCTTTGGTAACGACAGCTTCCCAGAACTTCCCAAAATGATCACTAATGCTTGAGAACTGTGATTATATGAAAGTCGAGAGCGCGTGTTGGTGCGCAATTGGCTCCTAGTGGATAGAATGTCGCCGCATTTCAACGGAGAACGCAATTCGACCCTGGATGCAATGACGCTGAATTACAAAGTTGTAGCCGAGTATTTTCATTCCTCGTGCTACGCTCTCGAATTCAAGCAGAAAGGCACAGAAGGATAGCAGCCGCCGTCCATTGCCAGTCACTGGGTGGCACGAACTCGTTTAGCTCAAAGCAAAATCGAAGGCGATGTAGAGGGGGCCCTTACGGTATTTTGATCTCTTTTCAGAGATGAAAACTTGGTCCTGTACAACCCAACCACCATACACCTTGCTGATAGGTCGACTCAACACGCAGTTCTGCTATCCCTTTCAGTTTGATCGTGAAGTGTTGTTGATAAATGGTCTATTTGCAGACTGGCTGTCAACAGCTTGCATGATTACAAGTGTGGTCAAGATCCAAGTTGCCTTCTACACCGACCAAAGCCCGGCCGCAGTTGCAAGGGCTGATTGCCCATCATGAGCTCGATGTTTTCTGCAGCAGCCGCACTGTTTGCGCGCACAAATATCTCTCAGAATTATACTCTTCTTTCGCCAGGTGTACCAGTACCCCCACCTCCTGCAAATTCTGGTCTTCCTTCCTTGCCTGCTGGACCTCCCTTCAAGGCTGGACTATGGCTTATACAACCAGCACAACATAAGCTGAACGGAAAGCGTGTCAGTGTCTGGACGTTTGAGAAGAGGAGCGGCGAAATGGATCGGTTGGGAGCTCAGGCCAAGGATATGGTCATAGAAATTCTAAAAGCTGAGGTGGATCATATATTACATCTGGC